GGGAGACCAAGTGGGGAAGTATTTTCTTTCCCTTACCATTTTTAACAGTGTGAAATGATTTTTTCTTTCATTGAAATTACATCTGAGGGATCGATGTATATTTATTGTGATCTGAGATGTTTTTGCTTGTTCCTAGTTAGTCTAAAGTTTTGTTTGTTTTTCTCTTCCCACAGATCAACAGGTAGACATGATGACCATCAAGGCCTTTAGCTTGGTCTCTGCTGTTGAGCGGGAGCTGCTGATGGGCGACAGAGATCGCATCAATATAGAGTGTGTTGAGTGCTGTGGGAAGAACCTCTACGTTGGCACCAATGACTGCTTTATTTACCACTTCCTGTTGGAGGAGAAGACTTTGCCCACTGGGACAGCCGCATTCACTGCCACTAAACAGCTGCACAGACACCTGGGTTTCAAGAAGCCAGTGAATGAACTGAGAGCAGCGTCAGCCCTCAACAGGCTCCTGGTGCTCTGTGACAACTCCATAACTCTGGTTAACATGATGAACCTGGAGCCCATTCCCACAGGGGCCCGAATCAAAGGGGCAGTGACATTTGCTTTGAATGAGAACCCTGTGAGCGGGGACCCATTTTGTGTGGAAGTTTGTATCATCTCTGTCAAACGCAGAACCATCCAGGTGTTCATGGTCTACGAGGACCGGGTTCAGATAGTCAAGGAAGTGTCGACTCCAGAGCAGCCCTTTGCCGTGGCTGTGGATGGCCACTTCTTATGCCTGGCTCTTACCACTCAGTACATCATCCTGAACTATAACACGGGGGTCTCCCAGGACCTGTTTCCTTACTGCAGCGAAGAGAAGCGCCCGATTGTGAAGCGGATAGGCAGACAGGAGTTCCTGTTGGCAGGCCCGGGAGGACTGGGTGAGAAGGATGCTTTGGCACTTAGATTCACATCTGCCTCTCTTCAACCTGTTCTCTTTTGGGTTAACTCCATTAATTAATTCTGAAATCTGAAAGTGATGTCTTAGTTGTGAAAAATAAATGCTTGCAAAAAGTATTTGCCAACAATGAGGATATGTGGCAAGATAAAAACAGAACAGCATCGTTTGCTGAAATTTTAAGTCTGTTTTGTGAATGTGTAGTTAGAAGAACAGAAAGAGACTAGTCATAAAACCAGTTTAATTTTGTGCTAAAGTAAGGTTTGAAGATGGCTCTGGGGGGAACATTCCTTTAAGTAAATAATTATAAAAATAATCTGTAAGATTTCCTTATAAGATTTTCCCATGTGGGTGGGTTTGTTGGTTGATGGTTTTTACTCCTCATTCCAAAAAGGATTTGAAGTAGCTCTCTTACAAGTATTTTCATGTGTGGATACTTCAGTGTTATAGTCATAATTTTCTTTTTTTATTTTCTGCAACTTTATCCCACCA